CTCCCCCCTCCCAAATACACACACACACTGTCACTTTAATCAGTCTAAATAAGCTCTTTTTGCACTACAAATCATTATATCTGCACTGTTGTTTACTTCACTGGTTTGCACTCTATCTGCCATGTGCGGTGTGCTGCTTTATATATATATTTTTTAATGTAAAAATGCAGAAAGTTTCCTGTGAGGGGTAGGGTTAGGGGTAGGGTTGGTGTAGGGCAATAGAATAGTATAAAAACCATTACGCCTATGGAATGTCCCCATTTAGATAGCTAAGGAAACGTGTGTGTGTGTGTGTGTGTGTGCGCAGGGGGCAGAGTGAGTCTGGCCGAGGTGCTCTCTGATTTCTGGGCAGGACTAGTTGAGCGCGTGTTCGCTCTGGTTAACCCTCAGTATCAGTTCAGCGAGGACTATCTGGAGTGTGTCAGCAAACACGCCGAGCAGCTGCGGCCATTTGGAGACGTTCCACATAAACTGCACATTCAGGTAACTTATTATTACATGCGTGTCTGGTTTTCATTGTATGACCAAGACAAAGAGAAATGTGTAAAAAAAAAAAAAAGATTTCTTGTTATAAATTTCTTATTCAAAGAGCAGATGTGCATATGAAGACACATTCTCTAATCTGTCATTCACGAAACCACGTGTTGTTGTTCTTCTAATTCCAAAATATGAAATACTGTGGGATTCTGATGACACTGGGAAGTGAATAAGTCACTGATCTCAGGTTGACTTTGTAGGGGAATTACGGTTAAACCCCATAGAGAGACACTGATATGCTTAATGAACACCAGGAGTCAAGTTTGAAGTTCAGTTGGTTGACAGAGAGTTTACTGAAGACAGAGTTCTCTTCCAAACTTCCAAAGCTGTAGAAAATGAATATGAGGAGCCAGACTCCAACTATCTTAGATTACAGAAAAGCTAGCACTTATAATCATATTGACGTCTTTTCTACAGGTTCTGATAGTTTAACAGTACAGATAATTCTAGCAACATCCAAACATGATGTTCTTTTGTCAAAGGGATAGTTCACCCAAAAATGAAAAATCTGTCATTAATTACTCACCTTCATGCAGAGTCAGAAAGCTCTTGGATTTCATCAAAATATCTTAATTTGTGTTCCGAAGATGAATGAAGGTCTTATGGGTTTGAAAAGACATGAGGGTGAGTAATTAATGACAGAATTTTCATTTTTGGGTGAACTAACCCTTTAAAGACAGTATCTTGGAGACACTAAGTTCCATTCAAGTCACCTTTATTTGTATAGCGCTTTATACAATACTGATTGTGTCAAAGCAGCTTTACAGTATGAAACAGGAAAATAGTTTGTCAATAATGCAAGAAAGCAATAACAGAGTAATTTTTCAGTTAAAGTCAGTTGATTGATGATTCAGTGATGTCATCATCCAGTTCAGCTCTCTTCAATAGTGTCTGTGCAATCAGTCAAGCGTCAACAACTAAACAAGTCAGAGGAACAAAAACTCCATCGCTGACAGAAATGGAGAAAAAACCTTGGGAGAAACCATATACCATTAATGGTGCTATAAACCCTAAAAAGAATCATAAACATTAAGCATATGTCATTGGAGTTAAAGTTAGTGGATGCATGTGGTGCGCTGGTCTTCACGTCTCATACGAGTATAATCGCAGAACCGCATAACAAAATATAGAAGAACAAAGTTCAAACTGATAACTCCTTTTTTTGTATAAATATAACATTTGATTATATAATGATTCAAATTAATTCTTACAAAACAAATACATATTTATTCTCTGGAAGCCGGGCTAAATGAGTAAACACTGTTCCTGTATTCCTGACATGGGTCAGACGCTCAGTCACGTCTCAGACTCCAAATCTACACATCGCCTGTAACATGATTACCAGAACAGATACACTAGTTTTAAGAAAACTATTATTACATATTCATTTTATAATAGAAGAGGAGGGCATTGGAAATCAACCCTTTCAACTTTAAGGCCTGTTGACACCAAATTAATAACTATAATGATAACTTTATTAGCATCCACATCAAGAGCAATAACGTTCTGTTTATTACAATAATTTTGTTGTCCGCCACTTTAAATGTCAATGTTTAGTTCAGACTTTAGTTCAGCTGTAAGCAGTTCTACAAAAGGCAGCAATGTCGTTATTCAGCTTTAGTCAGTTAAAAAAAATCGCTCTGAAAATGATTCCAAAGAAAATATTCCTCTGCCTTTAACATTTTTATGAGGTGAACTCACTATTCTCATAGAATTAAAGCAGTTATTAAAACTTTTTGCTTTATGTCTCATCATTACTACAATCATTATCATCATCATCTCTCTTTGTTGTGATTGGCAGGTGTCACGAGCGTTAACAGCGGCGCGGACGTTGGTTCAGAGTTTGGCTGCTGGAAGAGACATAGTGAACAAGGCCACAAAGGTGCATAAATGTGACTCACTACTTGTGCATTAATAACAAACTAATAAATCAAATAACTGATCACAAAAGATCTGAGCAGTGCTGCACCTGCATCTCACAACCGCAACAACACAACACCATCGCAGAGCCATCGGTGTGGCATTAGGTTTCGTGTGATTCAAGTGGAGAACTGCTCTGATTTTGACTGGTTTGACAAACGAACCAATTGGATTTTGTTCAGGTGAAAGCAGAGCCAGTCAGAAACTGGTTAGTGGTCACTGGGTTAGTGAGTTTCAGAAGCAGGTGACTGACAGGGTCTCGCTCACACTCACTTTTCAGGCGTTTTATTGGCATGACAACAATTTTTATATTTGTATTATTTTTTATGTTTATTTGTAGGGAGTTTTTCCTAAACGGAAATGGTGGTGGAAAAAATACGGGGTGGGAGGAAAAAATTATTTTCAAATCTTTTGCGTTCTCTTGCAAAACCAGCTGAGTTCGGACAAACCCTTCCTGTTCACCTCACAGCCTGCAGTGGTTCATACAGGTCTGTACGTTCACAGTGCAGCAGCTCATAGAGTTAGAGAGAGCAAAAGTTTTGCAAGAGAGATTTGAAAAATATTTTTTCCAACACCATGTCCCTTTAGGGGCTCCGTACAAAGCAGCTTTATAGAAAGACAGTTCATGTTTATGTATGTTTATATAATGTTTAATTTTAATATTTATTTATATAATGTTTAATAATTCAAGTCACATTTATTTCTAAAGCTCTTTATACATACTCAGAAATAGACAGGAAAATAATAGTGTAAATGTTGCAAAGTTCTTTCATTATGAAACTAACTCAGTTTCAGCTGTAAAGCAGCTCTGCAGAAGACAATACAGTCCTCATTGAGATCAGTGCAGTTAAAAGTTTTGCTCTTGAACTGAATTCATGAATGACGGCTTCCGGCTTCGCTACCGTTTTCTGATCACTTCTGTATTTTCTTTGATATATTGATCTCTGTTACCACTGAATCTAGATCTGTCTCTGTCAGAAAGAGATGCATTAACGAAAACACTAGTGTGCTATTTATGGAGGCTATATCTTTAACACCAAGCATTTCTGCAGACTCTGTTGATCTTGACCTTGACATTGAATCCTTTAACTCAAAAGTTAAAAATGTTATTGATGACATGAAAGTCAGCAAGAAGACAGAAATCAGCTTGGAGAAAATCAACAGCAGTTCAGAGTATGTGGCAGAAGATGAAACTTGAAATCCACTGTAGCATTTATAAAGACAGCCTTTGTGCTTTCAATGTGGAACTAGGCTTTTAAACACTTTTGACCTGATTCAGCATGTGCATGAACCCACACACAATCGTGGACATACTCTAGATTTAATCATCAGTAGAGGTCTAAACATTTCATCCATTGTTATTAAGGACGTAGCACTATCTGATCACTTCTGTATTTTCTTTAATATATTGATCTCTGTTACCACTGAATCTAGATCTGTCTCTGTCAGAAAGAGATGCATTAACGAAAACACTAGTGTGCTATTTATGGAGGCTATATCTTTAACACCAAGCATTTCTGCAGACTCTGTTGATCTTCTCCTTGATTCCTTTAACTCAAAAGTTAAGAATGTTATTGATGACATTGCTCCTTTGAAAGTCAGCAGGAAGACTGGCAGACAGAAATCAGCTTGGAGAAAATCAACAGCAGTTCAGAGTATGAAAAGACAATGCAGAAAAGCAGAACGGATGTGGCGGAAGACGAAACTTGAAATTCACTATAGCATCTATAAAGACAGCCTTAGTGCTTTCAATGTGGAACTAGGCAAAGCTAGACAGTCATTCTTCTCAAACCTTATAAACAGTAACTTAAACAACACTCGCACTCTTTTTGCTACTGTTGAGAGACTGACAAATCCCCCAAGTCAGATTGCCAGTGAAATGCTCTCCGACAGCTCTTCCTTCTTTTCTGTGAAGATTGATAATATCAGGAAGGCGATTAGCACATCCCCAAGTTATGCAGAGGTCAGACACATTCAATCGCAATATCAAAAAGAAGATACTATGTCTGCTTTTGAAGAAATTGATAGCAAAATTTTGGAAGAAATAGTACAGCACCTTAAATCGTCAACCTGCTATCTTGACACACTTCCCACATATTTTTTTCAAAAGGGTGCTTAACTGTTTAGAAGCAGATATCTTAGAAATGGTGAACGCCTTACTTCTTTATGGGACATTTCCAAACTCCCTGAAAACTGCAGTTGTTAAGCCTTTTTTATTATTATTTTCTTTTCTTTTATGTAAAGCACTTTGAATTGCCATTGTGTATGAAATGTGATATATAAATAAACTTGCCTTGAATTGAGCTTCCATGATTGATTTGAATTTCTGCTGATCTCTATGAAGCTGCTATTGTATAAAATGCTATAGACTATAAAGTGTGACTTGACTTAAGTAATAAGCAATTTTTTTATATTTACACACAAAATGTCAATCCCAATCATTCTAACCCTGGGGTCTCCAAACTCGGTCCTGGAGGGCCGCTGTCCTGCAGAGCTCAGCTCCAGCTGCCTCAACACATCTGACTGGAAGTTTCTAGTATGGTTAGTAAGAGCTTGATTAGCTGGTTCAGGTGTGTTTAATTGGGTTTGGAGCCGAACTCTGCAGGACTGTAGCCCTCCAGGACTATTCTAAACTGATTAAGAGAAACTGATGCAGTGCTGCCCTAAAAATATACTGAACAAAATTATAAACGCAACACTTTTGTTTTTGCCACTGCACATTTTAGAGTGGCCTTTTCTTGTGGCCAGCCTAAGGCACACCTGTGTAATAATCATGCTGTCTAATCAGCATATTGATATGCCACACCTGTGAGGTGGATGGATTATCTCGGCAAAGGAGAAATGCTCACTAATACAGATTTAGACAGATTTGTGAACAATATTTGAGAGAAATAGGCCTTTTGTGTACATAGAAAAAGTCTTAGATCTTTGAGTTCAGCTCATGAAAAATGGGGGCAAAAACAAAAGTGTTGCATTTATAATTTTGTTCAGTGTAATATGCTCATCCCATCAAATATAATGGAGAAATGATTTTGGATGTGATGATGTTTGTATATTCTCTTGGATATGTGTCATGCTGTGAGTGAGTTTGTTAATCGAGCTCTTCTTCTTCGTTTATTGTGTGTGTGTGTGTGTGTGTCTAGCTGACGGTGGGATCCGAGTGTGTTCGGGCGTTAATGCGGCAGTGGTTTTGTCCACTGTGTCGTGGACTTCCTTCCCTCAAGCCCTGTCATTCGCTGTGCCTGAACGTCATGAAGGGCTGCCTGGCCAATCAGGCCGACTTAGACTCTGAATGGAACAACTTCATCGGTGAGAAAGAAGCAGGGGCGGCCCAAGCCTTTATGGGGCCCTAAGCAGAATTTTATTTGGGGGCCCCTCTGTGCCGCCAATGTGACTGGTTATTGTCAAAGCTTGATTATTCACACACTATAAATGTAACACACCCATTATCAATTTTGTTTGTTGTAGCTGTGTTGCTTACATCATACCATTGTCTGCCTGGCATGTTTTTACCCTTCTACGATTTTCAGTTGTAACAGTTGCAAACTTATAACACACCTGGTCAGGTGTTAATTTGCACTTTAACATTCAAAGTCTTAAAGTATTAAGTGGCATACTTAATGTGGTGTGCTGAAAAGTAGCTAAATAAACCAGCAGCAAGTGCATTTACAGAACAGAATGTACTGTAAAACACAAATATAAATCGAAGTTGTACTTTTATTACAAGTCATACTTTTTTATAATAAATATTAAACACAGCAGAGAGCATCTGTACATATAAAACAACAACTCTTAATCTACATCTAGCTAATGGAGGCATAATGATATTGAAATATAATAGCAAAGACCCAAAATGTAGGCTAAGGTAAATAATGTTAAGCTGTTATCAGTTTATGAAACAGAAGCTTATTTTTATTAGCAAAATATATACCCAGGAAAGTTATTTTTATGCAGAAGACAAAAACTTTAATCTAAAACTAAGTAAAATGTTATATTAAAATATATTAAGATGTCTATTTACTGATGTTTTGATGTTCAAACATGAACTTCCCTAAAACAAAAAGATACCCTATGCTAATTAACTGGGGGGCTGGGGTGGTCTGATCTGATTAGGGGTGCGTTTCCCAAAAGCAACTATGGTCACAAGTTCTCGTCGTTAGCAATAGAGTTAAATAGAAATAACGACCATTGTGCCACATTGTGCACAATGGACCATTGTGCTATTTGTGCCACAAAACCCCCATGTTGAATTTGCCCCCCCAAAACGCGATTTTAACCCTTTGGCATGCCACGCTTTGGCTGGCGCTGAGCCAGAGAAAGACGAGCTCAGAAAAGAATAAAAAAGAAAGACACGCTCAGTGCTTTTCATATTTCATAACTGTTCAGTGTTTTCAACCGAATTAAGTTTATTTTAGGTTTCAGACATTTAAATACACTTCAGTTAAGTAAAAGACATTTAGTTTGTTAAATAGGCTACACACGGATTTCTATGGAAAGCGGATAATCCTTTCAATTGATGGACGACATGTTTTATTCCTATCAAATACACATTGTGTAGGTTACTATAAAGTTTACTCTGTTTTTCTCCCAGCTAACTGGCGACTTACTTTCATGTATTTCGGGAGAAATAGGTGAATTTACGTCATGTTAATCCGACAGATCCACAGGGCAGCGTCCAGCTCATTTTATCAACATGGTCATTATTGTGCCTGCATGACACATCGCTATGGAAATAATAAAATGATATGTATAGATTATTTATTTATTTATTTAATATTGCACTTTCGTATAATTACCACTGTCCATTGACACAATATATCACTAATTAAAATAAAATAAAATAAACTGTCATTTCATGTAGGTTACTCTTGGGGGCCCTCTGGTGGCCACAGGGGCCCTAAGCAGCCGCTTAGTTCGCTTATGCCTTGGGTCGGCTCTGGAAAGAAGAACCACCAATGATGAGAGAATTGCCAGTTCCTTTATGTGTGAAAGTGAAGTATGATGTCAGTTTTTCAGTGTGAATCTGATTAACCTGCAGATGTGCTGATGGCGGTGGTGGAGAAACTCGGCGGGCCGTTTCATTTCGAGTTGGCCACAGACTCCATTGCAGTGAAGGTGTCTGAAGGCATCATGTACATGCAGGAGAACAGCATTACCATCTCTGCAAAGGTAAAACATACATAACATGCCCAGACACACAGTGATGTGTGTTCAGTTTGAACAAAATGGGAGAAAAGCTTACAGCAGAGCTTTATTTGACAGAAATGAGCATTTACATACACATCACAGACAATATTCAAACACGTGCTTAAGCTCACTTGAGACATGTTTTCTTCAGCACAGAATTTACATTTACAGTAATTGTCAGAATTGTACACAAGTATTTGCATGCAGCACAGGCCCAGCGCCAGGCCAGTACTGACAGGGGGGCATTCAAATTCTGAGGGTGGGCAAACGCAAACCATTAGAAAATTCGGCAGTTTACAGCACGTTATTTATAATCGCTTATTTATAAACGCTATATATACAAAATTCCCCAACATGTAATCCTGGAAACAATTCTTATACAGTGCACATTCATGAAATCCACTACAGACACACAAAAACGCCACAGCATGTGCTTACAGGTTTATCTATATATAATAAAAAATAAGTAAAACTTACCGTCAGAAGAGTTAGAGGTGTCAGCATTTAATTGAATTGAATCTCCGCAGCACACGCTCTTTCCACTCATTTGTGCATTTCGTTGTCAAGTCTTTTTCAAAGGCATGTTTTATCAAGTGGGCCTTCCTTGAGTGCAACATGCTTCGTCGTTGGTCAGAAAAAAATCCTCTTTAATGTTGAGAACGAATTCTTGCACATTGCTGCTCCAAGTGTCAGTCCATGTTTAAATGCAGTCACAACTGATGGCATTGTCATCAAGGTTTTACCAAATTTTGTCAAAATGTTTGCGACTGTCCATGTTTCATTGAGCAAAGCATCAATTTCTGTGCAAAGGAATTTCTTAGCGACTGCGTTTTCACTATCAACGAGTTCCGCACCTGTCAGGTCTGTTATGATTTTTTTATTGTCTAGGGCAAGGGAATTGTAACATTTCTTTTTTAATAAAAAAGTTGTTCCCTTCCTATCAAACTCCCTGCCTTTTTTATTCTCTCATTGTCATTGTGCGGCATTAAATGGTCAAAAACAAAAATATATTCTCAAAAGATAATTTATTTTGATGCCCAGGAGTCGTTATCAAATATCAGAATTGAATACTAGAGTTGAATACCAATATACAACAAAACAAAAATAAAAGAAAGTATAATAAAAAAAAGAGGAAAGTGATTTCAGAGTGGTGCCAAATAAAATAAATAAACAGAACAAAATGCCAATCTATCTAAAGCAAATATTTATCTTACCTAACTATTAACAAAAAGAAAAAAACCTAAACATCTTCAGCGTATCAAACGCCCTGCCTTCCTTACCTTAACTAACCAAACAAAACTTACAATAGGTGGCACACACTCATTAAACTAGTGTGTATAATACAATGCAACTCAAACCTACATGTGTTCAATGTATATCACGTGACATCATAATCTATCACTTTCTCTGAAACCTGCAAAATCATATACAGCAAGGACTCACAACACAGCTGCAATGAGAAAGGACACAACAGGTGAAATGCAGTGTAATGTCTGCTTAGGATCACTGAGGGTCATGGGGGCTTTATGTCTCAGAGACCCTTTCAGCCTTTGACACTTGCATATAAATTACAGTCCTGGCCCCAGATTCTACATTTATATGGGTGCTAAATTACCAATGGTTCCTCCCATTATCAATTAGAGGCTAACCAGATCAACTATCTGGTCTCCCCATCAACTTCAAACACATTCCAATGTCCTAAGAAACAGTCATCCACAGTACCTGGCACCAGGTGTCTGATGGCCAGCGAACTACCCCCCATGCTGGCAATACACATAAGTCAAGTCAAGTCACCTTTATTTATATAGCGCTTTTAACAATACAGATTGTGTCAAAGCAACTGAACAGCATTAATTAGGAAAATAGTGTGTCAATAAAGTTAATTCTAAGATCTAATCTAAATATTTATTATTAATTATAACCAGTTATAATTCATTATAAATATTTCCCTTTTGAGCTAATTTGCTACAGCAGCTCCACATCACTTATGATCAATCCATCAGAACACATAATAGACAGAGTGCACAACACAGAATTTTAACTTGAAAGTAAAATGAAAAGCCTTCACCAAGCACCGTTCCTCATCGCGTAGATGAATCACGCTCGATACCTCGAGACATCTGTATCATAGTTTGCACGCCAGGGCTCTGGTTTTCGGTCACCCTCCACGAGGTATGGGTTGCTGCCGCTGCCTTCCCCCCTCGACTGCGTTGACAATGCCTTTATACGTCATCAACCTCCGGGTATTCCCGTCATTGAATGATGACGTTTTCCGCATACTGCGTGATGACGTTTTCCGCATACTATGCGAGGTTTAACGACTACAACTAAGAGAAAAAAATACAAAAAACAGTGGTTTTAGTTTCGTTTTGTCCAGAAAAGAATCACCAGCAGGGTCCAAGGCTACGAGAGCTTGTATGAGCTTGCCATTACATTCTCCAAACCGTGCAGCCATTTGTCCACTTACAGCATCAACTGCGCTGAAATAAAGGTGACGAAGTTCAGTCTCATCACAGCATTCATGTTGTCCTACGGTTTCCTCAACAGAGTAATGCTCCAAATTCTTGCTCATTGTATGTTGCCTTTTGTTTGGTCTAGTTTCTGCTGGGACCAGATCGCAGCTAATTGTCGAAAGCTCATTGAACTCGTCCTCTGATCGAAGTTTCTGAACGCAATCAGCAGCGAAATTTACAAACTTAATGGCTGAGAGGTAATCTGTGTTTTCTGCCTGCAGCATTTTGTTTGCTGGGCCAAGAAGTTTCAGGATTTTATGTACCATAACTGCAATGAAGCTGAAGTTAGGTTCTGTCACTGACCGCACCAGTCCTGTAGCTTCAACACGAATATCTGTGCCATAAGCGCGATCATTACTTATGTCCACCAACAATGAACGTATATCTCCCAGGGACTTGAGAATAACACAAACGGTGTCTATATGTCCTGTCCACCGCTGATCCAAGAGACGTTTTAGCCTTTGTAATAAACCGCTACCGTGGGTATTCTGATGAACTTGTAAAGTAGATCACAGACTCCAAAAAAGTCTAGAATTTCACTTTCAGTCGACAACGCCTGAATGACCACCAGATGTTTATGATTATAACAGTGTGTGTAAGGAATGTTTCGGCCCAGTCTGTTCTGTAAAAGTTTTTGTACACCACCGTGTTTTCCCGACATAACTGCTGCCCCGTCATACACCTGGCTGAGAATTCTGTCAGTGGTAAGGCCGGCCTTTGTGAGCTCTGCAATTATTGTTTTGGTTATGGTTGCAGCATCTCCGTGAGCTGCCGTTGTGACAGATAAAAGATGTTCTTTGACCTCAAAGTTGTCATCAACAAAACGGATCACAATGCTGACATTTTCAGTCCCTGTCGGGTCTCTGGTTCCATCAACTTTGAACGTATAAAATGCATCTCCTACTTCTCTGACGATTTCTTCTGTAACTAAAGTGCTCATTACTTCAATTACTTGATTCTGTATTTCGTGGCTAGTGTACGTTGCATTATGGGGAATTGTTTTCACAACATTTCTCAGTTCAGGATCTTTTCTGAGGGTATACTCAAAGAGGGATAAAAATAGCCCCCTGCCACCGTCCAACAAGCTACTAAATGCGTCTTGGTCTCCTCTAATGGCGCTTTTCCACTGCGTGGTACGACTCGGCTCGGCACGGCTCAGTACATCACGGCACGGTTCGGCTCGGCACGGTTTGCGTTTCCACTGCAGTTCAGTACCGCTTTAGAGGTTTACACGTCACGTTTTGGTAACGGTACGGTTCACTTGGAACCCCAACCGAGGTGGTACTAAAAAAAGTACCAGGTACCAGGTACTGTACCCAGTGGAAAACCCCCCCAAAAGTGAACCGTACCGAGCTGTACCATGCTGTACCATGCTGTGGAAAAGCGCCAAAAATGGCAGCTGGTTCGCGCAGAGAAACTCGATCATGTCAATTATGCTTGAGAGGTAATAGCGATTTCGCTGAAGTTGATCTGTGCTTACAAGTGTAGATATCTCCAAACCTTTCTGTGATCTGTGCTCCTTGTCCATCCACAGTGTCATGCATGCAATGTGCTCTTTTGACCTAGCATGCTTTTCCAGTCCTTTTTCTGTTCCTAAGGCGTGTTTCCAGCCTCGAAAACCACTCGTTGTGAAAGTTGAATCTGAGTCGCCAGCGCCTGTGTGGAATTTTCTGCAGGCGAAGCAAAACAGGGCATCCGCTTTCACTGAATACTCCAACCAATTTCTCCCTTAAAACCAATTGCTGGAAAACGACCACTTTTTTCCTGAAAATAATGACACTGGATACTTCTCTAAAATGACTTGACATGGTGAATCTGTGCTGAGATCATTTGGAACTCTATTATCTTCATCAGGCCCTTTACGGTGGCTGCAAGTGGGTGTAGCGCTTGTTGATGGTGACGAGACCGACTCCAAGCATGACGTCGAGCAGCTTCTAACATTAATATCAGCACTGAAGCCTCCTCAATCGTTGTGTGACACCTCAATGTCAACCGATGCATCTGCAACTTTAGATGGTGGCCTTTTAAGCCAGTTCCGGATATCCATCTTTAGAAAACTGTCTTGTTTTAAATAAAAAACTGTGAAGGAGGATCCTGTCTCACGAGTCACGCATCACAGGTTATTGAGCTCAACAAGGATTAGACGAATAATTGAGCGAAACACTGATTGGTTGAAAACATTGATCCTATGATGTGTTTATAATTAAGCATAAAACCAATTTGAAAACTTTTATTATTCACAGTAAAATACATCAATACATCAATATTAAATATTTTGGGGATTTTAATGGTAATAATTTTATACTTGCTAAAATCACATATAGGGGGCACAGGGCTACACACGCCCCCCGGCCCCCCCTCTAGCGCCGGGCCTGATGCAGCATGTGACTCTCGTTTCACTTCACTGAAAGCACGTCAGACAGACGGAGCATAATTAGTGTTAAACACAAAAATAAAAACTGCTGAAATATTTGTTGTTGGATAGTTTAAAATTCTACATGTATTACCAGTAATGGTAATTTATGAAAGTAAAGCCAGTGTTGGGGAAAGTTACTTTTAAAAGTAATGCATTACAATATTACGTTACTCCATAAAAAAGTAACTAATTTCATTACTTAGTTACTTTTTATGGAAAATAATGCATTACATAGCTTTATTTTTTGTGTCACCTGAGCTGGGCTTGCTTATTTATTTTTTAATAATAAAAAACCCAAAAGTTATATTTTTGGCAACTGTAAATGCTCTTTCACACCAAAAGTGAAATGAATAAACCTCAGGCTGAAGGAAGCGCCTCTGTCTCTGCACTCACTCCTGATTTCTCTCAACACCAGACAGGAGAGCTGTCAGTCAAGAAACGGGAAAACAAAGTAACCTGCGTTATTTATTTGAAAAAGTAACTCATATATTTTCTTGTAAATTTACAAGTAATGTGTTACTTTACTAGTTACTTGAAAAAGTAATCTGATGACTTAACTTGCATTACTTGTAATGCGTTTCCCCCAACACTGCTAATAACTGTGAGGGATAACAACATACAGTATAACTGGATTTAAATGTAACTGTGTCTACACCGGTCATGACAAAGTGACTGTTTCAAATCTATTTTTATCTGATTAATTGAAGAAATGATCGACAGATGTCATTATTTGCAGCCCTATCTGCTGAAGCATGTCCAGCTTGAGAAGAGAGTTGCACTGATGTTGAATGCAGCTGGACTGTGTGTGTTAAAGGATTTCTACAGTACAGGTATTAATCTTTCCATGAGACTGGTTATGCTTTGAGCTAAAGTGCTGTTTTTGTGTGCTTGTGTTGGTTTCAGGTCTTTCAGGGCTGTGGGATCCCTCGGCCAACTCCAGCCAGAAACAAACGCTCGTCCAGAGAGAGAGATGGCAAGAGAGCCTTCAGGACCTACAGCGCTGAGGAGAAACCCACCACTGCATCGGGAACAAACCTGGACCGACTGGTGAGACGCATCACCAAACCAAACCGAACATAACCAGTGGGAAAATCTGCAAGGCACTGAATAAAAAGCATCATGATATTTTGGCCATCTAAGCCTGAGATGTGAGAGGTCAAACATTTCAAAACATACATGCATTTGTGAAATAAGAGAAAAACAAAACAAAAACAAAAGGTCGTCAAACTCTTCTAGATTACTAAATCTAAAAAAATTGCCCTTAAACTTTCCAAATATGGATAAAATGAACTCCCATAATTATCCAGGCATCTGTGTGAAGAGTTGTCTGTTGAAGGTTTGTTGTAGCATTACAGATGTTCTTATTAAACACAGTTTGATTAGATCTTACCCGAATTCCAGACATCAGACCATATTTTTACTTTGCACACACTAACTGGCAATTGCAGAGAAAATGAGACTGTTTAACCTGCTTTCAATTCCAACAAGCTTTTGATTCGGTCTGGCTTGAGAGACTGACTTTAATTAATTGAAAGAGTAATTAGAGGAAAAATGGTGCAGTCAAATAAATGTACAAAAACAGCAAATGCTTCATCAAAGCAAGGCTTCATCCAGGAGCATGAGTTTGAAACTCAAATTTCTTTCCATGTTGCCTTAAAATGTTCAGAAAAACTTAAAACTTATATGAATAAATAATGTGAAAGGCACTTATGATGAAGGTACTTTTTTTCATGTAATGGCCAATTTTTCAACAACCAGCTGAATCATACATATTCATTTGAAGGATATTTTTCTCACGTGCAATTTCCGTGTCTCTCGCCATCACTGAACTGTATGTTGACCAGTGTTGTGTTGATAATGATGGCTGTGATCAGGTGGAGGAGCTGCAGGAGCGTCTCCGGCCCATGAGAGGATTCTGGGTAGCGCTGCCTCACACCATCTGTAATGATGAACGCAAGGCAGCTGATGTGACCAATGAGGATCGCTGCTGGAACGGGCAGACACCCGGCAGGTGTGAGACCGGATCCTGACACTCCTGAATGCTGAAGCATGTGTGACGAGTCACATTTACGCGTGTGTGTGTTTTGTAGATACCTGCCGTCTGTTACCGCTGATGGTTTGGTGAATCAGATTAATAATCCAGAGATGGAGGTGGACATTGCCCGGCCAGACGTCAAAACACGGCAGTTAATCATGGAGCTGCGAGTGGCTGTAAACAGACTGAAACACGCTCAGAACGGACGAGACGCGGATCTCATCGACAGTGAGTGTCTCCGTGCTTTTATCTTGGTGTCTGTCTGTTCTGAAAGAAACAACGTTAAGATAAAGTGGGTAACTTACTGACACATAGTAAGAAATGGTTATAAAAAACTGAAACAGAAATGAAACAAGTAGTAGGAAAGAGGAGAGAAAAAAAAGCGATACTTATCCTTTGCCGGTGTCCCTGCCCGGTGGAGTCGCATGGTAGAGTCGATGGTCTTTACACTCTTCGGTCTTCACACGACCGCTTCCGCGGTAAACTAAGCTTCTTTTTTATTCGTTTAACAAAACTCAAATTGAATTCAGCTGGACACACTTTCCTGTTTATCACAACAAATGGCCAAGAAAAGCGCACGACACTGTAAACGCTATCATTCAGCTGAAGTGTGCACATGCAGTTTAGACACTTGCTCATAAATGATGCAATGAATGCAGTAAATCAGTGGGGTTTTCTAGCATATTCTAGTGCACAAGAAATCAGATTTTCCTTGAACACATAAAAGGTCTTTGTGCAGTTAAAACGAGGGTTGAAAATCATTTTTGAAAATATATGACTACATATATATTTTTTTGTAAAAAAGCTTTATTAACATTAAAAGTAAACATTAAAAGAAAAATATTAAAATAATAATTAAAATACATGTCACGACCCATTTAAAATCAGCTAGAGCTTGCTATTTATGTTTGTACATAACTTATATAGTTTACATAAACTCAATGCATAAACAAATTCTGTTACTTAAAATAAAACTGAAATATAAAAAAACTCTTTAGTTTTAGTCAGTTGCCAAGGCAGAATTTCACATTTTTGTTTAATGTAACAATGTACTAAAACAACTAAAAATAAAACTGAAATAAAAAATTAATACAACCTATACAGACATAAAAAAACTAAGAAAAATTACAGGCATATACAACAAAATTACTAGGCATTTAACTGAAATTAAAAGGAACAAAAATAAATAAATAAAAACTAATTCAAAATATTAATAAGAATTATAATAGTATCTTAATGATAGTAAAATGACACTGATCCAGGCAGAAATCCAGCTCATTCCAAAACAACTCTATGTCAGCATGCGTGTAGATTTGCAAGTGCTATCCGTATTTTAATTATGCTAATCATCAAATACTCATTATCACGTTAAATTTTTTCTGCTTTTAAAAGATTGCAAAATTTTTTCATTTTTAGCTTTTGTACTGTGAAACTGACAATACGCATTTGGGTTTTGCTTACCTAAATTGCTGATCAATATCCTGTGAATTATTCTCTCATTTTGTCTCTCTAAATTCTCAAGGTTGGTGACAACCTTCTAATCTCTTTTAACATCTCTTTTTGTGGGAATCTTTCTAAAGAAGCGACAGCAATGAGAGTGTCTTTCTGTTATCAGATCTTATTTTGGTTAGTTACCCACATTATTGAAACTGTAATACAAAAAACAGAGGAGAAAGCAAAGTTCCCACTATGGCAGCTGTGATAAACGTCTGTGTGTGTGTGTGTTTAGGTGATGTGGAGGCTGGCAGTGGATCTGGAGTCGGAGTTGAAGCGGGCGAACGGTTCAGTGATGATTGGCCAGCTTACGGCTCGTTCTCTCCACCTCGCAACACTCTCCCAGTTGATAAGTCGCCCCGCCCCCGGGACACGCCCATCAATAAAAGGAACAGGCTGAATGGACGAGCCCGATCGGGTGCTGGAAGACTCTCCCCTCCTCTGCTGCCGTTTCTTCTCCTCCTCACTGTCTGTTTTTCACTCTCTCCGTCTCATGGACTTTAATGTAGATCAAACTCTCACCTGCCTGAATGAGCACAGACACCAGCAGCAGATCCGCACCGCCGCACGTGAACGTCCCGTAGAACGTTTCCTTTTTACATTTGTCCATTTTTACAAAGCAATACTGTGCATTCTGTAGTTCTCTCTGATTGGTTTGCGGACTGTGGTCAGCTGATCTCGTACAATCGAACCATTCGGACTGATTCGACACCGTTCCTGTAATCATGAGGAGCATTAGTTCGATCTGTTGACTGATTTTTACTTCTTCCTATTATGATGTTTGTATTATATTGAATGTGCAGTACTGTTGAATGTTGAGAAGTTTATCAATTTGAATTTAATTTCAATTGTTGATGATATTTATTTATTTATTTATTTATTTAATTTGCCTTATGTTCAGTGTGTGTGTAATGTAAGTGTGTATGTGTGAGCACACAAGTGATTTTTTTTAGGTTTTACGTAGATTAGCAATAGTGTTATGCTAAAATTAACGATTAAAATGGTTCTTCCAGATGTGCTGATGTTTTTGGAGAGTTGCTTTGGTTCATCTAAATCTAAATCTAAATCTCTTTATTGTCACACATCGTGTACACAAGTGTAAAAATGGTGACATTTTTGGGTACAAGACTGTGCCATGGCAGTACAAGCAACAAGATATGAAAAATTAACAGTATACATAAATAACAATATTCACATTTTACACAATATACAAATTTTACACAATATACAATTTTCACACATTTCCTCACACATCTCTGGGTGTAGATGTCCTGGAGGGAGGGAAGCTCACCTCCGACGATGTGCTGGGCTGTCTGAACTATTCTCTGCAGGGCTTTCCAGTTGAGAGCGGTGCAGTGCCCGTACCAGGCGGTGATGCAGCCAGCCAGGATGCTCTCCACAGTGCAACTGTAGAACTGTCTGAGGATTTTTGAGCTCAGACCAAATTTCTTCAGTCACCTGAGGAAGAAGAGACTCTGGTGGGCCTTCCTCACTACTGACTGTGTGTGAATAGTACAGGTGAGGTCCTCAGTGATGTGAACGCAGAGGAACTTGAAGCTACTACTGTTCATACAATAGTAGCCTTGACCTACATACAGTATTCTTTCCCCCTCAAATCCTGAAAAAGTGTGTACTTTTAAGTTTGTAGCCTACTTTTAACCTTGACAACAGTGTTTAATTATTTTAAAAATACAGTGTCTTTTTCCATTTGCTGAAAAGTAGTGGTTTTGAACATTGCCTACGAGGGTTCTGACCGAGAGGGATTGTAAGTTCTACTGCATAATAAATTTTTAACAAGCAGAAAACATCATCATGATACACAGTCTTACTATTAGCTTTGACTTTTAGCTATTATAGTCTTTCGAAGGACAAAACTTTAAAGCTATTGGCTTTACATCATCAAGTTAGCTGTCACTTTATTATGTCACACACTTGGCACAGCGCTTGCGACAGCTCTGCTTACTCATATAATGCGTTGACAGTTCAACATCTGACTTTCATCTGTTAAGGCTGATTTCCGAAAACAGCGCTGCTCACTGCATTTGTTGGTCGCGTCTTACTTGGGCTTGCGTTCGAAACTGCATACTCAATGAGACTTAATTTCAATAAATACTTCCTTAACGAGCGCTAAAAGAGTACGTACTCTACAGCCAAATCTCGTTAAGTATGAATGCGATCCGGACATCATCTGCCATTTTGACGTTATAATGTGATCTATGACGTAATAACTAGCTCAACAACTTAAAGTGCGTATGGCAGGTTAGAGACTATGGAGTGAGATTAGTCTCAATGATAATTCATGCAAAAGGCACGATGCACACATGCGTAGGCCAATTCACATGCATAAAACCTAATTCACGTGCATGAAAAAAAAATCTATATATTCACAAAAACCAATTCACATGCATAAAATAAGAATATATTTTGAGGTCGCACAGATTAAATTTCGGGAGCATATGCTATAAAAATGGTCGAAATTTCGAGCCCTGGTTTCCCTACTAGGGGAGAAAAAAGCACTTTTTATTATACACATTGTTTCAAAGCAGCTTTACAGAAGATGAATGTTTCTACATTACAAATAAGAGTTCTGTTATCAGGTGTAACTGTGTCAAAGTAATGTTCATATGGCAGAAATGTTCTAAAATTAGGCTGTTCAAATCATGCAGTTAGTTAACATCATGTATTCAGCAGAAACAATGAACACATTAAAGCAATGATTACATGATGTGATGATGTTGATTATACAATGCAAGGAAAATTTGGCAGCATTGTATGTTTATTCAGAGTTGGTGTCATCTGAAGTTCTCTCAAGGGTTGGCGTCATCTCTTCACAGGTGCTCGTCGGCTGAAGTCTTCATAAGAGGCTGGATATAGTCAGCAGGAGCAATCTAAATATAGCTATAGATTACACCAACAAAAAGTGATGTAATCATACTTGGGAATTGGCACTTCTTTTGCAAAGAACATTGAAAGACTTGCAAAAACCCAGTGAACTGAGACTCATTGTGAATGTGATGTCTCATTACAGGTAGTCTTCAGGTGGTTCTTGTTCTGAAAGCAAGATAAAGGAGAAAAACACAGGAGAAATGGTTAAGTTATGCTCCATGTTGTTTAGGTGAGGGGGTGTTAGATATTATTTGTTAAATATAACAAATAGTTGTGTGTCTGATTGGTCCAAATGCTACAGTAGCTAAGAAGTTTAAGTATAAAATACAGTAATAAAGTACAGCTTTACTGTGGTTACTTCTGTAGTACAGTAGTGGTATATAATACATTTTTGGTAATTTAACCTAGTATGATTCTGAAATGAACACTGCTCACCTATTTTAAACCTTTTCATTCTCACTTAGCTCCATCAGCATCTGTTGCAATAAATCTAATATTTAACTCCCCACCAGCAAAAATCATGTTTAAAAGCCTTAATTACACAACGATGAATGCAACTGCATGTAGAGAATGAATAATTTCCTCTAAATCTACTAATTTAGTGAGGAATAATCTAATAATAATCTATTTTAATACACAAGGTAATTTGATTAGCTGTGCTGATAATATGCAATTTTGTTCTATAAATGTCTTACTTTTTAAAAGTTCATCACAGCGGTCTCTTCTGCTGCATCTTTACGGCACTGATAGTTTTGGCGCTAACTTCTGGGAACTATTGAGAGGCTCCACGATCCGCCATTGCTGTAAAAATCTGGTCCGGTGGAGTGAATGGAGTTGACGCAACTCTGTCTCTCAATGGCTCTGCTTGAAAGGGCCTTCGCTTACAGTAAATGAAGCTCATTTGCTGCTCATCTGTCACTCATATTACCGTTCATGACCCGCCTGTCTCTTGCGATGATGAGCTTCCGCTACACTTACGCCTTCTGTTCCGTTCCGTACATAACAAACCTAATTAATTAATGAATCTTTCTTATGATTTTAGCTCCAGTTTGTTCTCCTGCCCATTATTTACTGCAGTAGTTTCCAGGGAACAAATTTTTTTTACTCAGTAATCATGTGTTTTAAAATTTAGCGAAGTACAACACTTCAAACAAAATATACTTAAAAGTAAAATTACAGATTTTTAAAAATTACTTTAAAAAGTAGAAGTACGCAAAAAAGCTACTCAATTACAGTAACTCGAGTAAATGTAATTCGTTACTTTCCAACTCTGGATTTACATGCACTTTAGGCATGTCAAAAGGCATCATTATAATCCATAATCAAAGTCAAGCTAATAATAAATTTCATAGAATTGTATAAATTCTATAGGTTACAGTGTAAGAAAAAAAGTCTGAGTTAAAATCTTATGTTTATTGAAAGTATTTTTGTATTTCAATGCCACAGTTTACAAACAGAGGTTGGAGGAACTGAGGAACTAATTATTGTTAAATTTATTTCATAATGTACCCTATATACATATATTTCAAATTTCTTTATTAGATTTTCTGCATGGAATATCAACTCAACAAATTAAAACATTAATTTTATAAAATTATTCTTCCATGTTATTACCAATACTACCCCACTAAACACTTCCCTCCCTCAACAACTTATAACTTCCCATGGGGGGAAAAAAAGAGAGAAAAGAAAGAAAAGAAAAAAAGAAAAAGACAGAGGTAAAAATAATAATAAAACAAAATAATGCTTTTTTATGTTTAAAAAAGCATAAATAAAAATTGTATGTTTATATATTAATGCTCAGCTTAAGTATCAAGACAGTTAGCCAGCAGATAATCTAAAAGGGGGTGCCACACCTTGTCAAAGGTCTTTAAAGAACCAGTGAGTGACAGTCTAATTTTTTCCAATTTAATGCAAGTAGACACTTCTTTTAGCCATGTATCAAAGGAAGGGGGTGAGACGTGCTTCCACTTTAAAAGGATGAGACGTCTTGCTAGTAAAGTAGTAAAGGCTAAAGCCTTTTGGACCGTTACTGAAAGGTTAACATCTACTGCCAACCCAAAAATGGCCAAAAGTGGATTTGTATCGATATCTATGTCAAAGGCATCTTTCAAAGTTTTAAATATTTTAGTCCACTAATCAAATAATTTAGGGCATTCCCACAACATGTGAATGAGACCTGCTGGTGATTGCTTGCACCTATTACATGCATCGCTGACAGAGGGGTATATTTTGGCAAGTCTAGCATTAGTATAGTAAACCCTTGTGATGAGAGGGGCGGGGCCGAGAGCTGTGGGAACAGAGCGAGGCCGGTGAAGTAAATGCAAATGCGCGACACATGCACCACTCACCAGTCTCGAGTCCCACGGAGGAGCTCCGGAAGATAAAAGGAGGAGTGACGACAGTGTTGGACGAGAGAGGACCAGGCCTGGACTTTATTTTGTGTTTTGCGTGCGGCAGCAGTCCGCGAGGGGCTGCCGCTTTACTTTTATTTTGTGTTGGTTTATTTTATTAAAGTGTTTAAATGTTCGCCGGTTCCCGCCTCCTTCTTCCCGATCTACAAACTGTGTTACATTGGTGCCGAAACCCGGGAGGAAGGAGGGACACGCTGCCAGAGATCCCTCGCCGCTGTGGTGAATCCGCGGTGCCATCGAGCATGGCGGAGCAGTCTGCGGCTATGGACGCTCGAGGCGGTGGACTGGAGTGAGTTGCCGGGGGGGAGGACAAACTTGCTGCCAGCCGCCTGGAATGTGGAGTCCCGTCGCCGTCCACCAGGCAGCGGAGGAGTGTCAGGCCGTCCACCGAGGGCTATCCAGTGCCGCCGCCAGGCATCGCGGAAGAGTTTACCCAGCTGGTGGAGGGCCGAGCGGCAGTGTGTCTGGGAACCGCAACAAGAATTTTTTTTCCTCCCCCCCCTCTCT